CAATGTGTCTAGAACGAGCAAGCCACCACACTCCTCTCCAATTTCCTCGAAGCTTTCCTTACCTGCACATCCACACAATCCACGAAGACCGGGTGACCCAAATGCACCGTGAATGATACTGGTCGTAGTCAAGCAGCAAGAATGCAACACCAAATACCTCACCCTGCATGCCAACCCTTCACACCAATTCGACACCAACCTGCAACAAGGCCATCCCAGCCACCAGGGTCACGTCAAGCAATCACCGCCGGCTGCGAGCAACAGAATCCTGCCGGCCAACGCTCCATCAGCCTGTGTACAGTAGGTCGGTGCGAAGCAGGCAAGAGCACCGCCTGGAAGAGTCACCCCTCATAATAAGATCTGTAGAGCAACTATGGCCGCTCCCTCCCTTCCCCGCTGGCCCAAGAGCCATGTTCCATGAGGAATAGCAATAGCAATGTGCCATGAATAGCAAAATAGCAATATATCAACCCGCCACTCCTAGCACTGAGCACGGAACTTCTTGCCGTAGTGACACTGAAACCTCCGTGTGCAGGTCGTCCTTAATGACTTCCTCACTGCGCCCAACAGGGTGTGCTCATCAGCCCACCCATCGTTAGAGGTCCGGCCTACACTTCACTATTCAACGATTGAAAGTTCGCCCACGATAGCTGCCGGCCATGTATAGTCGAACGATGACAAACTCCCAACCGGGGACAGTACGGCGCGACAGCTGTGCATAATAAGCAATGCCATGAAGAGACAACATACACAACCAACCAACTTGCATGATGAGCAACTCAAACCAAAGCGCTGCAAAGCATGGCGGAATGCGAGCTACACGGTAAACAAGGACCAAACAATCCCACCGGGAGCGCTGTGCCGCCGGAGAAGCCACCAACTCCATAATAAGGGTTTTCCAGATCTGAGGCATCTTCTTCAGACAAAAAACTGACCCACCCTAATCGAGCCTCCTCATCCTTTGCCTGACCTAATCCGAGTTTAATTGCCCTAATTTCATTGGAATTACGGTTAGGGTTTGCTTGAACACCTCATACCAGCATGTAGAGGCCTTTTGGCTAAGATCAAGTGTAGTATCTGTTCTGATCAGTTTAATATCTGATCCGTGGTCCATCAAAAAAAAAAAAAAAAAAAAAGAAGGTCAACGCTCCGGTACCAAATTGCTATGATCGTGGTCAGTTCGTAATGGCAAAACTCCAATACGAGACTGTCAATCATCGCAACTCAAATGGGCGACGAACAAGGCTACGAAAGAAGAAGAAGAAAACTAACACACAAGTTGGAACCAATGTCATCGCTCTCCATATCTCGCCACAGGCCCTCCTGAACAAATATTTCCTACCCGACAGGTACCAGACCTTCCTGGGCGCAACTTACTTGCCGAAAAACTCCTCCGCGCCGCTAGCAAGTTCTACTTATGCCCCTGGAAGCTGCGGTACCGGGAGTACCCCCAGCACGTCCCCCCCTTACCACTAACTTCCCATCCCGGGTTTGTCCCTGTCCGAGGAGCAGGCACATGACACGGCCAACTGACTTGGCAAATGCATCCATACTTGGTGCCCACTGGCTAGGCAAGCACACGACACACATACATACATTACTGGCAGATCACACACACACACACACACACACACACACACACACACACACACACACATAGAAAAAAGAGCAAATCACCGCATGCGGTTAACAGGGTGTTTTTTTTAATTTTCCACGAATGTTTTTCACAGAAGCAGTGAAGCTGTCATACAAATCACAGCAGAACAGGCTCAGTACAGTATTGAAATTCTCAGAATTCTAAGACATCAGATCAGAAAGACATTACCAAAGTACCAACTGGCCTAGCTGCTCAGTTGGTACACCCCTGAAGTCTTCAAAGTTAAAAGTTAAAAGTTGAAAGTTGAAAGTTAAAAGTTAAAAGTTAAAAGTTGAAAGTTGAAAGTGTTGAAAGTTGAAAGTTGAAAGTTAAAAGTTGAAAGTGTTGAAAGTTGAAAGTTGAAAGTTGAAAGTTGAAATACAGAGCTGAGTTTGAAAATTGAACTCCACAAGAAGCAGATGAGGTGACTGAAGTAAAGTACTATGATTTATGAATTACCTAGGTGTCTAGGACCGGTCAGTTGGATGACGATATCTCACGGCGATCACCCTTTTGCTTAGAGGAAAAAAAGAAAAAGGAAAAAAAGACCGAAAGAACAGTATTTGCTCAGAAAGAAAGGAGAAAGGATGCAACTGTTAGTAAACAGGGCATGAGTACTTCGAATGATGGAAAATCAGACAAATAATACAATAACGTTAGAGGCCGCTTCCTTAAGAAACAGGAAACAAGAAAACAAGATCAACCTGTTCCGACGATGTTACGATCTCCACCGGTCTGTCTGACGTCTGGCCTACAGAAACTATCCCCCCAAAAAGGTCACAGAAATCAACCACAAGGTCCACAACCTATTCCCTAATTTGGAAAGAACTATTAAAGCATCAGTGACGGATGGGCGATTTTCACCCCCAGAAAACTTTGCCGTCCTGTACATTCCCGTACCGGTGGTTTTATCACTGTAGTCTATAGTACAGAGTGAGTGCATCTGTGCTTCAATGCTGAGGCAGCTCCTTCCTCCTCCGCCTTCCCTCTCCAGCTTCGTCCTCCACCCCCTGCCCCCCCCACCCCCTTCCTCCTCTTTTCTTCTGCCCCTTTCTTTTCAGTCCTCTCTTCCCTTTCTTGATAACAACCAAGCACGGTGTACATGGAAATGTGCATAAGGAGTGACACAACTGCCAATTAAACAAAGCTTGTCAAAGATTGAGTTAAGAAACTCTTCATCACAATTACTCCAGATTTCCTGTCCTGCCGTCCTCGCTTGTGTCCATATCGCATATTGAACACCCATCCATTCATTTGCCTATGGACTCATCTGCGATTGATAACTCTTCGTTGGCAATCACTACTCATCCACCTCTTTCGCTTGATCACTGCTTCAACCTCCCCAACCCACCACCATCCTCATCCTCATCATCATCCTCATCATCATCATCATCATCTTGGAGAGTGATCAATCCGGTTGCTATGACCTTCTCAAAGGTAACTTGCAGCATTTTTTCTATAATGTAAGAGAGGACCGATCCATTTGCTAGGCCATTTTCAAAAGTAACTTACAGCATTTTCATCGTCGCCAATTCAATTGCAATATACTTGCCTTCCCTTGCTGTTTGTCCGGGCGCCTGTCATGGATAGCGCATGGATTTGAGCTTGGTGTTGGTCTCTAAGTTCATCACATCAGCTGGTGAGGCAGTTCCTTTCTCATAGGATAGATAATGACGTATATGTGACGTATACGTGATTTGAACCCATGTCCTTGCCATGAAAAAAAAGTGAGCATCCGGCGCTGGATCCGTCACCTTTTCGTGGGATTCTCTCATAACGTAGGCAAACTGTCTTAACGTCGTCGGCAAGGTCGTCAAACGCGAGATGTACCAGTGGGTTTGATGCCTGTGGGCGTAGCACTTCTCTGAGGAGGGCTGTTGCGGTCAGGGCTACCCTCTTCGCTTGAATGCTCACTGGTGGCTGCCACGACATTGTGCCGGAACAGACCGTCTACCCTGGGATCGCGGGAACCGTGACCGCGAGGCTCAAGCATGTCAAGGACCTGTTTGACGGTGGGCCTTGAGGCAGGTTCTTTACTCAAACAGTTCTGCGCCAACTTGGCCATTCGCTTCACCTCTTCGGAGTTGAAATCTCTGGCCAGCCTTGGGTCGATCAACTTCAACAGGTGGTTTGGATTCTCTATGTCGTATGTCCACGCCATATCTCGCAAGGAGATAGTGGGAACGCAGGGATTCAACCCGGAGATAATTTCCATGAGAAGAATGCCGAAGCTGTAAATGTCAGTGACTTGCGTGAATTTGTGCGTGTAGAAGAGCTCAGGATCAAGGTACCCTGCACAAACGGTACTCTCCGTACTACTCGGGCCGGCCACGGCACTGCTTTTGCTGGGGCCGCCAGGTCGCCCAGACGAAGACGAGTGGAAGAGTCGTAGGAAGTCCCCTCCTTGATGGACGCCGAAGTTGGCAAGGAACCCGTTGAAGTTCTCGTCTAGGAACACATTCGCCGACCGGATATCTGTGTGCACTACCGCCGGATCTGCTCCATCGTGTAGATAGTACAGCCCTTCGGCAACATCCAATGCAATCTGCTGTCGGCGTGGCCAGGTCAGCGACTTCGCTTTCGCATTCGAGTCATGCAAATGGCTATGGAGACTTCCATTCGACTTGTATTCGAATGCCAGCACGTAACTTCCGTTCTCCGTGCAGAACCCGACCAGATTGACCAACTTCTTATAGTGAATCGTTGAAAGCAAATCAATCTCACTCATCACTGAGCCACCGTCTTCACTGAGACCTTTTCCGGGCCCTCCTCTTCCCGCTTCTGCGTCTTGTGTCGTTACTGAACTGTCCAATCCATCAGAAGCATCAGATTGAGAATTGCGAGGGTGACGATGAACTTTCACCACAGCCTCCACTCCCCCTGGGAGCACAGCCTTGTACACCGGCCCATTCTTCCCGCTTCCAAGAACCGTAGAGAAGTTGCCGGTTGCTGCACCGAGCTGCTCGTAAGTGTACTCCTGAACCTGGAATGCATTCCGCGACTTTCCGGCGGAAGAGGCATGGCTGATTTTGGACCACAGTGTCAAGGAGTCCTTCGCGCGAGGGTGAGAACGGCGATCACAAAAGAAGAAGATCCATTCGGAACAGCACTCGCGATCGACCTTCCCCAACAACAACAACACGCACACCAGCAGTATCGACACACCGACCAAAATCCCTGACACAGCAACAATTATTATCAGTGCTTTCTCTGACATAAGGAACGCGGCGGCATTCAAACCTTCCTGTCACATGACACAGTGACCATAAATGACCTATTCCACATTCTTCTCGGCCTTTCGGGCACATTACTGGCATGTGGTACTGGCCACCAGCTTCAGTCCCTTTTGTCCTTCTCATTCATAGTAGTACAGTCGCCACCACCAGCTCCTCCTCCTCCTCCTCCTGCTGCTGCCGCTACTGCTGCTGCTGCTGCTGGTGCTGCTCAGTTGGCTTCGTGCTATTCCTCCCGGAAGATGCCCGCCTGGTCCCTTCCTTCTCCAGCGTCCCACTCCCTCCGAGTTGGGACAACCATCGAATCCTCTGCACTTGTAACTCCTGCTTTTCAACCGCTTTACTATCATCACCTAATGATGACGATCAGCAGTACAGCAACTTCCAAACGCTGGCTATTCCACCAATAGATAGCTGCTATGTGCTCACCCAACTGTTTATCTGCCTGGCTGACAATCTGTCTATCTCTGTCGATCTCATGTTGCCGGCATTCATCTAGTTCATCTTTTCATCCTCTTTTACCTGCAGATCTTCGCTGTCCCACAACATCAACACACAGGGATATGTTTCAGAGGTGGTTACGGGGGTAAGAGAGAGAGAGAGAAGGAAGTGCACACGCAAGAGACAGAGGCAGAGGCAGAGAGATACAGAGAGCGCAATCCTGGTCCCTATGTTAGAGAGAGAAGGGTGTTTGGTAGATGGAAAAGGAGACAAGAGAAGAGGGGAGGAGAAGAAACAAAAGGGAGAGAGTGACACGGGGGAGAGAAGGTGGGGGTGGAACAGGGAGGAGACAGATGTACAGAAAGACAGACAGACAAAGACAGACAGATAGAGATAGAGAGACGCGCTGAGACAGAGACCGACACAGCCACGTGCAGAGAGACTGACAGACACAAACTACCGGTAGGTAGCGAGGGAAACTCCTTGATATTCTGTCCGTTTCAATACAGATAAACTCCGAAGGCAGCTGCAACACAGAAAATGCTCTCCGTGATGAACACGTCGTGCGCGTAATTATCAGTGTTGGGATCCCAAAGGCACCTGCATCCCATTTTGACCCCCTCCCCTCTTTGCTCCCCAATCACCACCTGCACTACGAACTTGTACCGCTCCAGATCCATTTCTTTCAGTTTCACCTTGATAGCATCTGCGATCTCTCTCGTCCACGTCGACGTGTTGTCTGGATGATAAACTGCCCCCGTCAACTTCTCCTTCAGAATGGCACCTATCGCTTGCTTCACTTTGCCCGATCGAAACTTTTTACGGAATGCTGGCTCGACAGGATAAGACAAGTGGACTGCAGGGCTTGCACCTGCTTCCTCCAACTCCATTCTCAAGAACAGAAGGAGGATATAGCGCGCACACCCTACCACGCCGAATCGGACAACAAGCGATACATGCTGCTGGAGAGTACTCGGAGGAGGAGGGGGGCTGAAGGGGGGTGTTTGTTACACGTGTTCGCCGGGCAGTGGGAGAAGGTATATGCTCAGGCCTATCCGTCGTTGCTGGCAAAACCCAAAACCGCTTTCAAAGGACAAGCGAATCTCCTTCTCACATACGGACCTTTCCATACAATGGACGGCTTTCAGGGCTGGACGAGGAGGGGCCTTCACTCACTCACTCACATTTAGCACATGTTCCCCTTTGCCCCCCCACCACCCCCCCTCCTTCTTCCAACCACTACCACTGGCCGGCATCCCGCTCACCCACCCCTCCTCCCATTAAGCAATACGATTCACGTCCTGTACTCCAGATTAAGAAAACAGATGCCGAGCCATTTTTTTTCTTAACGTTGTCAAGGAATACGCGATCCTTCAGAAGAGCAGACCGGTACAAGCGCTCACTCACAGAAAATTGTCACCATCGTCTTCTGCACTTCGCTGTCTCCTCTCCTCATCTCCATTCCTGACCCACCACCCCCCCTGTCACCCACCATGCGCCACCCACCCGTCCCGTTCACTGCCGTTCAATCTGCTGATGGACTTTGAACCCGGGCTGTCGCATCTCCGATCGGCATTACACCCGCGGGGGGAAGAGGGGGGGTGCGCTTGCAGAATGAGGTGGAACAGCACCATCTTCTGCCCTCAGTCTTCCACGTAGCAGGCGGCAAATTGCAGCTTGAATACTGAAGAGGGCTTCACGACCATCTTCACTCTGAGCACCAAAGGATAGCATAGCACCGAACAATACGGCCGAACGATAGGACCAACCGATCATTAGTCATCATTACAGTACAGGCTGTGAAGTACGGTGAACGGTTAAAACTAAACCCCCAGTTACTTTGGCACCACCCTAGCTACCAGGAAGCCCAGCTTTTTTCAGTCGGTCCAATTGACAATCCAAAATTTTCACTTTCTTTAAAAGTTTCTTTCCTTTTTCTGTCTTCAGGGGTTGGCTCGATTTTTCACGCAGTAGCAGTGATTTAAAATTAAAAGTACATGCATTTTTCAAACCGTTTCCCCTTTTTCCCCTTTGATGATCGGAAAGCGAGAAGTGTTTGTTATGAACCCAATACCAAGAATCTCAATATTCTTACACCATGCAATAACTCACAACGCACAATGATTGACAGCAACTCAAACAGTGATCGACACCAACTCAAACAATGATTGACAGCAACTCACACAATGATTAACAGCAACTCACACAATGATTGACAGCAACTCAAACAATGATTGACAGCAACTCAAACAATGATTGACAGCAACTCAAACAATGATTGACAGCAACTCGAAGCCGCAAGCAGACTGGAATGCAGGCAAGGGAAGAGAAGAGTATGAGGTGAGGAAGATAGGTTTCAAGTTTTCATTATATCAGCTAATCAATAATACAATCTAATTGTGTTTCCTTCCTCCTTCAACTTCCCAAGCTTCTTCCCCCTCCTTAAGTCTAGCTTTGGCTGCAGCATGCGGATCAGCATATTATTTGATCAAGAGATCCTCAAATGCGGCTATAGGCGTAGCCTTCAGCCATTTGTTCAGGTCTATTCTTTTACAGCCTGACTGTACAGCTTGGACTTCTACAAAGCTCCTAACGGCGGGTTCCACATTGGTCCCTAGGACCAACGACTGAGTCACTTGGGGTATCCCCAGCACATCAAAGTAGGATCACATGGAGCTGATCCAAGATTCGATGTCGTTTTTTCCGTCATACTTAGACGGAATCTGTGTCACCTTCCTGTCCACGTAGGGAAAGCTGCGCTAGGACTAGCGATCGCTAGGTCCGAATTCGGGGCTGCAACAGTTCCAGAATGCCCTGCACTGCCACTTGCCACTACAGCAGCAGCAGCAACAACAATGGAGTCTAGACCTGTTGCAGATCCGGATAGGCTGTTGGCCACAGTCAAAGAAGAAGAAGAAGATGATATAGTTGGAAGGGCAAGAACGGACTGACACACAGCACTAGAAGCAGGGTCAGCAGGCGGAAGGACACCTTGGGTCGGCTGCATGTTAGCAAAGTGTTGCAGCTGGTCATGGTGCTGATGCTCCATCACGGCCATATCCTCGCGCAACTTCTTGAGTTCATCAAACACCTTGGCGAGTTGGCCTGTATGGTCTTCATCAGCCCGGACCTCTACTAAAGCCTTGAGGAGTGGGACAATCTTCTCTTCCACCTCATCATCAGTTAAGGCGGGCACGATATTGAAGACAGCTTCATGAGCCTTTACTTTATCTCCCCTCTCCTTCTCCTTCTCTTCCTCTTCCCTCTTCAATGTTTTTTCATAGAAGAACAAGTACTGCGCTTTTTTTGCCTCAGGGGCAGCGTCCATTTGCAACTTTCATTCTGTTGAAGATGCCATGATGGAGGACGAGGGAGTCAATAAGTCTCTCAAGAGAGGTCTGTATTTCCTCACACTTCTGGGACGAACACTCCTCTTCCCTCTCCTCACCCCCTCAAGAGCAACACTCAGAAGCTTCTCTCCTCTCTCTTTCTCTCTCGTTTGCGATCGTGTAGACGCAGGCATTTAACGAACCCAATGAAAGAAACAGCTTGAAATCAATCAGAAGAAAAGGTAGAACTCCTAGCCGGAGCGGCAATCATTTGGACTGGAGAGCAGTCAAAACAAAAAAATAAAGATCAGAGATATCTCATTCCGCCACATAGTCTGGTCCGACTACGTATGAGGTCCTCTCAAGCCTAGTCGGACTCAGCTCCCTGAAGACACAGCAAATCAAATTCAAAGTGTACTACGAAATGCAAGAGAGAATTGAGTGGTGTCCAAGGTGCGAGTCAGGCGGCGGATCGTGTGGTAGAGTCTGATAAAACGTCTCAGTTGAGATCCCCTCAGCTCCTGGTCCGAAAGCATGAACTCCGAGTCCCAATCAGATAGAGCAAGGTAACTGACGTCAACAGATTTAGCCCGAGGGGCACTTCTTGTTTGGGCCTGGTCCCATTGAGTCCCAAATGGTCCCACTGGAGTCAGAACCGGGTCCCAACCAACAAGAGTTCCACAAAGACCTAATCTCTGCCTCTACCGAATTGAAAAACGAAATTTAGCCCCAGAAAGAACCTATAGACTACAGTCGTTCAGAATGAAATAAACAAAGCATTGTAGAAAGATATAGCATGGCACACAAGATACTCCATTCATTCACTCGTCAGGTGAGTAGGTAGTTCACACACCTCATACAAGATCAAGACCATGGAGGATGGAAGAAGAACCCAGAATACCCCAGCAGGCAGTCAATTCACACACACATGGGCACCCTGGCGGCATGACACTTACCTGAGTGGTTGGGCTGTTGAGATGAAAGAAACTCAACCTCCTCTCACATAGTCTTCCTCGCCCAATTAGCATCCTCTACACTACTGTCCTATCATCCAGGAGGGTCAACATCTACCCCAAAGTACGATGTCGGATCCCCCGTCGATGTTGAAGATCAAAGTAGCAACTTGCAGTTCGTAGGTGCAGATATGGCTGCCACCCTCAAACTCGCCTAACTTGAGGGGATCCCTAAAGTCACTCCTCGTCTTCCTTGAAGTTCAGATTCAAGTTGTAGGTGCCCTTCACTGTCGCCTCTCTCAAATTGCATCACGAAGTCCCACCTTGTGTCTTGCCACCACAACATGCTCACAAACAACCTTGTCGGGTTTAATGTCGCCCCTACACGGCCCTGCCAGGTGGGAGCAACTTCCCTTTACCACGCTGCCCCACTTAACCCTAACTTCCGCCCTAACCCTAAGTGGTCAGCCCTTACCACTAGGGTTAGGGTTATGGCGGCAAAGTCAACTCTCCCAGCAAGTAGAATCCGCTCCAATACCAATATTACGATCCTGGCTAATTTCGAAGTATACATTCATCAGAAAGTACAATGGCGTCCAATTGCAAAAAAAAATGAATGAACTTGAGAGGAGAGAGAGGGAAAGAAGAAGAAGAAGAAGAAGTCAGAAAGAAGAAGAAGGTGATGTACTCCAACATAGACCAAAGATAATGCTCTTCTTCTTCGCCAATCAATCTCCTCCTCCTTATCTCCTCCTCCCTTGTTCAAACAAGAAATAACAATAATAATGTTGAATGGCTGAACCAGAATCAATGTCCGAATCCCACTTCTACTGCAGGCACAACATGAGGTCCACCATAGCCATGGACACCCTTCTCCTTCCTCTCACATGTAGGCCGAGGCTATGGCGGACTACTAAGGGCTCAACCCTCCTGTCCAAAGGACAACCCAAAGCAGCTATGTCGCTGCCTCCCTGTGCAAAGGACAACGCAAAGCCGCTATGCCGCTGCTCACTAGGCCGCCATGCTTATCTCTGCCCCGAGCTTCCTTGGTGCGGCACTACCCCAACGGGGGCCTTCCAGATGCAGCGCCTAACAAGGTGATGAAGATGGTGTCCACCATAGCCAGGTAGGTACCTCGCCACTCTCCTCCTTAGTCCCCTTCTCCCTCCTCCTCCTACCGGTAGAGCTCCACCATAGCCAAGGTGGAAGCTCCCGGCTTCTTCCTCCCAGCAGTGCTGTAGTACCCAGCGCTACTCCAGCCAGCGCTCCAGCAGCGTGTCACCAAACTTGCACACAGAAGAATGAGGCCGGGCTCTTCCCTCGGCCTCCTGATATAGCGGCCTACTTACCACCTGGGCGGTGACTTCCAGGCCGCTCGGCCTCCCAAGCAACCGGTACCTCCTCCCTTTCGGAGGGAAACATCATTGCAGACTCTGATATTGCCCGTACAGGCCCTAGACTCAGACTGGATGGACTGGTACCGGCCTAGACCTAGCCTACCGCTACTGGGCCTCTAAAAATGCCAACTTAGTCTTCTTCTGCTCAGCCTCAAGTACCCGGCACATCTACTGCTACTGGGTGCGGTACCGACCTACTTGCTACTTGAGTGTTTTTCCGCTGCTCCAAGTACCGCGGGCCCCTGGCTCCGCTACTTGAGTGTTTTCCTTGCTGCAACCCTCAATATCACGGCCACAGGCAAGTACCGGGCCTACGGGCCTCCCAAACAAGCAAGTACCCTTGCGGGTCACACACACACTCATGCCGACAAGCACTCAGA